CAACCAGCCGAGGATTCACATTACTCGTATGTGGATTTTCACCAATAGTTGTTCAATCCCTGCATTTCTTGTGGATACATCCGTGGTCAATAGTATTGCCTTCTCGATACATACGTATGTACACTGTATATCATGTGCACATTGACATGTCTGAAGGTTTGTAGTTTTTCAATAAAAAAAATAGTAGATAAAAAAGTTAACTCTGTCGTTTGAATCCTCGTAATAATCCATTCTCAAAAATATGCAGGTTCAGTCGTTTGACATTAGTCGTCAGAAAGCCCCACTGTGGCCATGGCGAAGAGTTTCGTCCACATTCCTTGTTTCAGAACATGTCATGTCCAATAGTATTATTACTAACCTGTTATTATGTCTAGAGTATTTTTCCGAATCAGGAATGTGCATGATTTTAAATGAGAAAATGCTGAAACCTGCACTGTATGTATTAGCTCTCATGAAATGCCTTTTTGTTCTTTAATGCTTACTTATACGCATGCTATTGGAGCGTGTCTGATTGCAGTGTGAGTAGACCGCTCTTGAAGTGCACAATATACTTGAAGTAATTGTAGTGGCCGCAGTCTCTCGGAGGCAAGAATACACAAGGGTCTCAGTGAACACACTATAACTGGCAATCGAAATGTAACTATAATTGGCAATGAAATTAACTGGCTCAAAAGAATCGTGAACAGCAGCTTTAATGCACAGGAAAACTCCGTAGGCTCCAGTCTCTCCGGAGGCGTGGGTTCGAATCCCACCGCTGCCACCAATTTGTAGCGGCCGCAGTCTCTCGGAGGCAAGAATACACAAGGGTCTCAGTGAACACATTGTAACTGGCAATCGAAATGTAACTATAACTGGCAATGAAATTAACTGGCTCAAAAGAATCGTGAACAGCAGCTTTAATGCACAGGCAGACTCCGTATGCTAATGTACGGGGATACGCTAACGTATGGGGATACAGTACGGGGATATGCTATACTCTAAACACTATACGCTTTGAAGTCACCAGCGTCCCAACGCTACAGTAATCACGACCATTGCCAACTCCAGCCGATTGTGACGTTGCACTTTCAAGCCCTATCTGGGTAGGACTGAGCCACAACTGTACATTTGCAGAAAGGAGCAAAGGTACAGATCTCAAGGAAGTAACATACCCGAATGACTATGCGGACACACCGGCCAAGGTGAAGTAACCTTCAAACTAGGAAGTGACCAGTGGCTTTCTGAGTCAATTTCAGGAGGCAGATATTTCTCATTTATGCTTCATTATTAATTGTTTGGTTTTCTTTGGATCATAGATATAGAGTTCATTGTCCAAAAATCACGTTAAAAAACTACGTATTGGGCTGCACGGCGCCGTGCAGCATGACTTTTTGCAGCACTCTCGTGACGTTGCAGATATGTGGTAGACGAGAGAGGGATCTGACTCACAGAGATAATAACGAATAATCTTTACTTCAGGATGAGACACTAGTAAAGCAACTGAACTACACAAGAGGAATAACTGCAAGCTGTAACCATGGTAACTGACTGAAACAACGAAAGAACACGACTGTAAATGTGTAGTCTCCAGTCGCAAACAACAAGACACCGACTCAATTCTCAACATGCACAGAAACTACAAGCCGCGAAGTCCGTTTCACGCGCGCGCACTGAGAAACGGCACACGCGACATGCATAACAACACAACACGATGTACTACTACTACTACTACATGCATCATGAATAGCATGAATAGCACGAAAGAACAGCCAGGAATAATAATGATTAGACTGGTCCACACAGGAACAATAAATGTATCACCTCTACGCGTGCACACAGCAAAACTGACACCAAAGAAGGGCACGTTGATTCGGGCATGCATTGGAATTACCATGAACGCATTGACACCCAAAGGCGAGCGGCAGTGATTTGCCAAAACACCATACATAGACTACTGGAAGAGGTTCACCTTCTACTCATGTGGCTTGATTATTGTAGTTTACGTGGATTTAGTGACTTTGGCAAGTTTGAGACGTATCAAGAAGTCAGGTAGGATTCAGTACTAGGCAGTAGTGGAACGTGAATGGTAGTCTTTGCCGGTTTCTGAGGGCATCCTGGATTTCGTGTGCAGCGCTGTGGAAATGGCTTGCCGTGGAGGCACTGGATGTTGTATCAAAGGTACGACCTCGTAGCACGTGCTAAACATTAAAAAATTCAAAAATTGACTTGCGTCGGTGGGAGTCTGTGAGAGAACGCCCACTCGTTCCGTTGTGACAGATTCCAGGGCCACGTTGAGGGGCCCTACCCCTCCCCCCCACCCATGGCTGCTTCTGGACTTGTTTAAGTTTGGTTCCCGCGCACGGACAGAATGGGCAAGAAAATGTGAAAAAATGTAAATGCATTTGTTTGGCTCCTGGGTGACTCGCACACCGTGGCACTATGCCGGAAATTTGAGTTTTTCCGGCCTGGAAATAGGCCTTGACAGATTATGCTAGCATAATTTTTCGCATAATTCCTACCAAAATCGAATAATCGCATAATTCGAGGCAAATTGCATACGAATCGCATAAAATTGGAATAATCCGCCTGTTCGCATCAAATTCCATACAATTGTACATGTTCTACAAGTACAAGTACAAGTAGATGCACCTGGAAGGCGTAGGTTTACGACTCCCTTGATAACATGTCCAGTCCACTACACAATCAGTGACCAGGGTGACGGTCGTAGCTACATGTAGGTCGGACGGTGTGGTGACCTCGTTGAACTTTTGCTACTACAGTACAACGCCCTCTGCAAAAAAATTCCCCTGTTATTTTGAACACAACCATCATACATTAGCAGCATATGTGAACATAATGCGGCATAATATGATAACTTTTAGCATAAAATTAGCAGAATTACGCATTTTTTTCAGCAATGCGAAAAGCCTAATTTCACGAAAATATTAGCATAATCTGTCAAGGCCTACCTGGAAAACCTGTCAGTGAGGCGCAAGAACTTGTAAATCATGTCCTGAAGGCCAGCATAGTGGCAGGAGTGCGTGGCCAACATTTCACTCAAATCCATTGAGAAACACCAAAGTTACGGTCAATTGAATGCCATATGAAATTTACGACTAGGCTGCTACCTTCAGTTCAATTAGGTTATGCATGTTGTTCAAAAAATAATAATTGTTATTCTTATTATTTGTTGCCATCTTCCATAGGTCCGTCAAATAGTATTAATAGGTTTTTCATTTGACCCGACGAGACCATACGACGTTTGCAGACAACTGTACGAACAGTTCAATTGAACTGTTCGTGTCGTTGTCTGCAAGTGTCGTATGGTCTCATCGGGTCAAATGAAAAACCTATTATACAAGTTGTTTCTTGTATAACCCAAAACTAGTGTTAGATAAACCGTGTTATAGTTCACACATGTTGTTGGGTTGAAACCGTGAAACAAGGTGGAAGACACTGTGTTCGGTAACAGTGACCTTACTACAACCATGCACGGTTGGTAGAGCCCCTGTTCGTTGGCACCATCTGAACCACAATGGGTGTTGAACCCGGCTCTGACTCTCATTATGCTCGGGGAATCTTCTCCTAACGTCAGTCGTCTAAAACCTCCCCTAGTATGATGAGAGTCAGACCCGGGTTCAACACCCATATGATTCAGATGTTTCCAACGGACCGGCGCTCTGACAACCGTGGTTGGTTGTAGTAAGGTCACTGTTTCCGAACACAGTGTCCTCCGCCTTGTCTATGCTATCAAACTAAGTTGGTTGTTCCAACTCTATGCAGAGGGAGCAGGAAATGGTGCTTTCTTGCAGGGTTGGCGAGTGGAAGGTCTGACGTGCTCATCGTGTGCTAAGGATGGCAGTCAAGAGTCATTCAAGTTCGGCAGGAAACGTGTGTTCCTCGCTGGAACAACCAACTTTATCACAAATGGAGAGGTTGATATGCACTTGACGCGAAGTGGATCTCGTGTTATTTGGTTCGCATGTTGGAAAACAACGCGAGTGACCTGCAGCTCACGTCGAAATTTGGAGTTTACGCCAAACTTGACGTGAAATTGCGCATCACGTCGGAAATACGGTGCATCTTAACCGCTCGATTACAGCCGAAGTCGCAACTTCTTAGTTAGTTTTGTTGTCCTTCACGCCGACGCGCGACTAGTTGTTGGAGGTGACAGCGTTGTCAATAAGTGGTAGCTCTCAACATCTTTCTAGCATAAATCCAAGATCGATTTTTGCTCATGCTGCTACCTGAAGACGACTATGTTGTGAATGTTTAATTGCCGCCCAAAACACGGACTCAGTGCCACACTACATCATGACGCATCCACTTTCTTTATCAAAATAGAAATAGCGCATCGCTTCCAGTCGGTATCCTTAAAGTACGTTCCAGTTTTCTTCTTTCTTCCCCAATTATATTTCCAATTGTTCAAATTGATTCGTAGTCCAAGAGCGCAATACATTCCATTATTACTTGGCACGTGATTGTTACCTGATGTCCAGCGTATCAGCAGCTTTCCCGTTGTGCATAGCAACATGCGATATCACATGCTACTTTCCGGCACGTTGCCGAGATTAGATACCCACCATGTTGCTACCAGTTTGTGACATCCTATTTTAGTGGGATGTAGGAAGTTGTAGGAATGAACGGGAAGGGAGGGTTTTGAGCTTTGCCTTGAGGAAGAAAAACTGTGGTAAAGACTTGCTAGCGTTCTTGTGTTCGCGGGCAGTTTGGCATGAGGTGTTAACAATAGCAATGTCCAAGCATCTTCAAATCGTTTTGTGTTCGTGTAACAACAATAACCTGAAAGTACTTACCCAAAATGACTGTGTTCCGGAGGCGATGGGAAAAGTCACGATTGGTTATTGATCATATTCATTGAAACAGCAAAAGTATCCTTCGCACCCTTCTTTCAAAACTGTATGTTGGCATACGGCTGAAGGATAGGCATTTTTCCGGCCGAGCTTGCTGTGTTTGAGGGCAGTTATCCGACGGAGTTTCCTCACAAGTTGCCAGTAGGACAACTAGAGGATGACAAATTCCTGCAAACCGTATGTATCGGCTCTTTGGCTGCGATTGGCTATGACG